TATATATATATATATATATAATTCGAGTTGAAAACAATAAATTGAATCAAGAGAATTCGCCTTAGATTTGGCCCCTCTTCCTTAATTTCCTAATAAAAGAAAACTATATTTACCATTCAAGAAAAATGAAACGTTGAGATATTTTTCCTTTATTGGGTTGGACGCTAGCTAGATTTAGATGTGTTTTGTAAATTGTAGTACCTACTGGGGATGGGGATAAAAGGATTTGGGCTTTCATATATAGGTTTAGTTTCATCAGGTCATCTAGCAGCTTCAATCACTCACCAACAATACAAGAGATAAATGAGCTAGCTTGATTTTTCATCAAGGATAAGTCAATTCTATTATGTTCAAAGGTTTTCATATATATATATCTCAGGTACTTTTTGATTGTCTTTTATTTAATTTGTTCTACTCTTAGATTCTTCAATCCTGCAGCTATGGGCCTCTGGTGTACTTTGAGATTGCTATAGATGTGAATCCACTCATTAAAACCTAAAAGAACTTTTTTTTCTCTCCACATTTTACATTTGATTAGTCTAAGGTTGAACTTCCAAGAAAGCCAAATTTCTTTTTCTCCTGTTTCGTGAACTTCTCTGGGTTAACTTAAAAATAACTGCATAAAATTATGCATAGTAATAACCTGAAAAAATAAGATAAGTAACCGGCCAGTTTAATTAGTATATGATAGGTTCAGATTCATTAATAGTATATAAATTGTTTATATATTTAGTATTATATTAATTAAATCCTTTTATTTTTATTTTTAAATTTGAGAATTGATAAGCTCGGCATGAAATGATGAGAAGTCCGAGATATTATCCTAAGAACCTCTGAGGTTATCCTTAACCAAGTTGCACTTCTCATCCTCTAAATCTCAAATATATCGTATGTTTGCGTGTTTGTTTGTTTGTTTTTCCGTGCAGATAATATCAAGAGTCAGCAAGTAAAACAAATTTCCAGGACACGAGAAAGACATACTTGGTAATCAATATTTAGCTTGTAATTTTGTAAGGTTATGGTAGTAACGACATGATGACAAACTACGTAATTAGTTTGTGGGAAAATTGAGAAGCATTTTGGTTACTTTTGTCTATACTCTTTTATTGCATCTAACAACTACTTTTTCGTTTGTTACAGGTATTCTTTTTTTATTAATTTGTTTTAAAAGGAATAATATTTTTTATATTTAAAAGCAGTTTAACCTTAATTTTTTTATTTCACCCTTAATAACATTTTAATGTTGTATGGCGCTCATATACACAAGAAGTTGTTTATGAATAAAAGCATTATACCTATTGTCGTTGTATTTCAGTTAAATCATTAGTTTTGAGATTTATCTAGCAAATATAGAAAAACGTTCTCTCTCTCTCTCCTCGTGCTGAAAGTTTTGGAGAATTTGATATTTCCAATTGATTTGCAGTTACTCTTTTTTTCTTTTCTGAAAAGGAATCTTAAGAAATATTTGACTGATTGAAATTGAGAATTTTGTAACCTTACACTGATAAACAAGGAAATTGATTGTCTCTGGAATAAGACTTGTGAATCGCAGTTTATCACTTTATCTCACTCCAACGTTTAATCAACCGTTTAGGTGCAAGCCCACTGGGTTTGTCAAACCGTTAAGCGCTTTTTAACTTTTGAAAGTGTTTGACAATAAAAAAAAAAGCTTAAAAAAAGTTAAAATCTGCTTAAAAAAATCAAAATTAACAAGTTGGGTAAACTCAACCTTTTCGAAATTAGCTTAAAAGTCATATTGTTTTGACCAAAGATATAACATTCTTATCCCTTATAATTTTTCTTAATCTCGAAATTATCCTTAAAAACTTGAAATTGCAGCCTCTACTTTCTTCTTCCTCCCGAAATTGCAGCATCTGCTTTCTTCATTTTACTCTTTTTCTTGCCCATTCTTCTCCGGATGGTAACGATTCGTTTGCTTCCAATTTTTAGTTTTTTACTAATTTTCTTTATCCGTCGCTGTTCTTTGTGCTGAGATTACTTGAAGTAGTACCCAGCAATTTTCTTTTCATTTCATACTACTTTTAGTTTTTTAAATTGAAAGTGAATTAAAATGTTAATTATTATGTATTCATATTATTTAGAATAAAATATTATAATAATAAGTTTCTTTATAGGTTTAACAGCTTTAAGGATATTTCAGTAATTTTAACAAAAAAAGTGTTTATTAGTATTTGCTTACCAAATATTTCAATAACTTTTTTTCAGCTCCAACACTTTTATCCAAATACGTAACTGCTTATTTATAAAACCAATTACAGCATTTAAAAAGTGCTTTTAAGCACTTGTACTTAAAAGCTATTTTTTTTTTTTTTTTAGCAAATCCAAACGGACCTCTGTAAGCCCATCCAACAGACCAAAGAAGTATTTCACGAACATGACCTTTTTCCACGAAAATATAGTATAATACTCTTTAACCTTAAAAACAGCTAAAGGTAGTTAAAGTGAAAGTCAAAGTAAAGAACCTGCCCTTTGTCTCAGTTTTTGAGTAAAAGAAAGTTGTATTGACTTGAGAAGTTCGGAATGTACGAACACGTGTAATATAGTGGCCAATTATGTAAAATAAAATTATGAAACACCATAGTTCAAATCTCAATTGAAGCAAAAATTCTAACTGATATTTTCTTTATCTGTCTAAATTTTGAGAGATTATCTTTTCTATCAACTCTGCACAAATCCATATATATATATATATAGGCATGTATTGCTCACCCATTTTGTCGCAGCTCACAATTTCAATGAAACCTGGGGCAGCCAAGCCTGACTAGTGTTGCAATTGCAGGCAGCTTCCCGCAGCTCCGCTAAATCTGTCCATATAAGGCTCATTTCACATCATTTCAACTCACTTCCAAGCACAACACTTTCCTAACATCATTCCACCCCTCCCAACTTATTAAAATGGTCAGAACATACAATATGTAGACATTAAGAGGTCTTGCATTAATTTTGGTGTTATTAATCCCTTGTTTGGTAATGCATTAGTTATACACTCTATTTAGTACTATTCTTATACATAGCAAACCATGGCATTAGTAATATCATAATTTTTAATACATGAATAAGTATAAAGACAAAATTGCTCTTTCAAAACCTTTTCCAACACATGTGAAAGGTATTTTTATAAAGAAATAACTTCTTAAAAAAATTATGCAATACATATTATTTTTAATACACTAAACCAAATAGTTAAAAAATAATCTCAGCATTACTAATCTCAGCACTATTAATACAATATTCAGTACTATTCTTATACACCCTACCAAACGACCCCTAAAAGCAGAGGTGGATGCAGTGTGATACAAATATGTAGACATTAAAAGTAGAGGCAGATACATTGTATCTGTACCGGGTTCGCGTTCATTTGAACCACGATGCAGAACATAAATTTAAGTGTAAAAATCTACTAAAATTACAACAAATAATAGATATGAACCTACGACATTAAAAATACAATGAGTTCAGGATGAGGAACCTTAAAGATTGAACTCGTATAGCTTAAACTATATCCGCCTCTGATTTAAAGCACGTAAAAGTTATTAAATTTTATGGGCGTAACAAAAGAGAAGGGAAGACTCGGTCAATAGTGAGCTCAACTTTAAAATGGGAATTTACAACTGATACTATCATCCCCAACTAATTAATCAGTCAATACAGGAACAAGGATATTCAAGGTATACAGGGGAAGCCAAGAACTTATGCAACAAAACTTGAACTACAAGAAAAGAAAAAAGAAAAAAGAAAAAAGAGAAACAAATAATACAAAACATGCTACTCTTCTCTGAACACTCCCCACAGATAATGCTTTCCTTGAAACCCTGCAAAGCAATTAATTCAGTAAACCAAAAGTTGGAAATGAGTAACTCTTGATAAATAGAAGTGACTCACGCCAGTGACGCCGTGGCAGGTCCATAGAAGTGAAAACCAAGAGCTCAGCATTTTTCACAACGGTTCTCATGGCAAGTCCTTGATGAATCATCTCATCAACCAGGTCATCAAATGTCGCCACGACTCTGGAGTAAGAAAGTTGAATATTAGACTTCACTTTGATACGAGTTGCAAGAGAAGATGGTATAAGACTGACCTTGCATCTTTTGGGAAAAAATATAGGGCAATAATATCATCGCTTGGTTCTGATCTCAGAAAATCCTTAGGCCAAACATTGGATTTTGGGACAATTTCTAGCTGAAGTGTTGACGGAAAGAGACATGCCTCGTCATACACCTTTTTGCATGCTTTACTTGATATGCGAGCTACAAATCCATCCAATGTACCATGATCGCCATTTAGTATGTTAAAACTTCCACTGCGAGTAGATTAAGACAATAAACTTGAGTCTAGAAAGTCACACTCTTGTATAGGTGTTGTCCTGATTGAAATCAAAATATACCATCATAGACTCTGCCAAAATTCTTCCGATATACTTTTTGAGATGGAATTCTTCCGATCTACTTTTGTCCATACATTTTGTTTCAAAATTTTGAAACAATATTTGGAGATTATTTCAAATAAGTGCTTGTTTATCAAGCTGACAATTATTTCAACTTCAAACATGAATTATGGAATTTGAAGTTTGAAAAACATGTTTTAGGAGTTTTTCAAGTTTCACTCACAAAACTTTAGCTGTGTTTTCATGTCCAAACACAACAACTTCCAAATATCCTTTTTCAACTTAACTTCATATACTATTACTTTTTCCCAAATATCAACCAATTCATGTCCAAATGCCTATATTTATCCCATTAATGTTAATGTACCCTCTATCCCAATCAAATAACAACTTTTTTTCTGTTTAAGTCGAGCAAGAACAATGTCTAACTTCCTGAAGAGCATATGCAAAGATTCAAATCCCCATTTCCTTCCCCCTTTTAAACAATTATGGCCAGAAAATAAGTACGATAGCTTCAGTTAATTATTTGAAAGCTCAAAATATTTTTACTGCATTCCTTTGGTTTTGTTATTTTCTTCGATTTTTTCTTTCCCGTAAATGTCTCAGACCAGTAATCAAACACAAAAATTGTGATTGCAAATGCAGAAAATGTAACTCTGACCTCCATGTAGGATTAATTACTGGCTCGGCACATTGATGAGATTCCGGCAATAAAGCATATTGCAGATAATCCGTGGTTGATTGATGAACATCTCCAGAAAAAATGTTACTGCAGTTTCCTTGGTACTTATTTCCTCCCAAGATTTAATTTTCCACCATGGTTGCTTTGGGAAATGTTCTTAATTCCATTCTTCATATCTGTGCAATCAGTCACCAAAAGTGAGAGATCAGTTGAAAGAGTAACGTTTCTGTTCTATACAAATTCTAGATTGAACAAAATCACAAGTTATATTAGATTGCTCTGTCGGGCCGGGTTTTGTGGCACAACACGGACGCAATGGATGATTTTGATGTTTATGCGCTTCCTTATTTGCTGAAGAACATTGACCATGCTCGAATAAATCAAAAAAAATTATAGACCTTACAACACTGCTCAAATGAAATACCTTTGTTTACATCAAGCGGAGAGCCGTCATCCACGACATCAGACAAGCCGGTCGGGGGTATCAACTCCTTAGCTGGCTTTATTTCAAGAATATCTTCCATTGCTTCATGGATACACTCATCTCCTAGAGTAGGGTTTTCCTTTCTCTTCAATTTTGGTCCCACATTTGTTTCAACGCCGCTAGAGGAGAACAAATTTGATCTGATACCAGCGTATTCGTGACATTCCTGTGACTTACAATCCTCACAAACCCAATGAATGAATTCGTTTAAACTTCTTGGCAACTCATCCAGGCAGTAGCTGAGGGCAAAGAAATAACAGGAAAACAAGTTCAAACAATGTGTCTAAACTATCTTCACTTAGACTTGGTAGAGGTAAAGCTTACACGGAAACCAAAAGGTTAGCTAGAAAGTAATTGGTGAAAAACATTATGGGTTATGTTACTCCAATGATAATCCATAACAACCAGAAACCATCTTGGACCTCAATAAAGAGTAAGCTTTAAAGTTTGTTTGAAGTCAATTTCTCATTTGCATTATCAACAATAGAAGCATGTACACTAAAAAAGTTTCTGCTCCTCTTTAATTGAGTGTATAAAAAGCCAAACAAATTGTTTCATAAATTATATCTTATTTGGTTAACAAGTAGTAATAGTTCCGACATGCAAGTTATTAAAAATAAGGACAGACCATGCACGAAGCATCCTGCATTCACGTAGGGTTGGGGAAGGGCCGCACCCCAAGGGGGTGCGATATAGGCAGCATACCCTAATGCAAGCATCAGTGGGCTGATTCCACGGCTCGAACCCGTGTCTTATAGGTCACACGAAGATAACTTTACCATTACTCCAAGTCTCCCCTCCATGCAAGTTATATTTCATATATTATAATATAGTATACTATCACATGGGGGACAAGAGTGGGTTGCTCTAGTGCTAAGCACCCTCCACTTCCAATCAAGAGGTTGTGAGTTCGAATCACCCTAAGAGCAAGGTGGGGAGTTCTTGGAGGGAGGGGAGCCGAGAATCTATCGGAAACAGTCTCTCTACCCCAGGGTAGAGGTAAGTTCTGCATACACACTACCCTCCCCAGACCCCACTAGTGGGATTATACTGGGTTGTTGATGTTATTGTTGTTGTTGTTATCACATGGGGGTCTGTGTTGGAACCAAATAAACAAAACAGAAGAAAAGGCTACAACGGCATCCATCACTACATCTCTAAAAGTAAATCAACTTTTCTAATATCATTCTCTCCGTTTTCTTTATTGTTTTAGGAGGATCACCAATGCTGACCAACTTACTAATGCACTGCAGCGTGTAAACATTGAACGCAATAAACCAGGGCATCATAGAATCCTCTGTCACCACACTGCAAACATACATTCATCTGCAAGAATGTAGAACAAGTAGTTATGGAGTACCTGCTAAATAATACATTGTATTAATTTCCAAAGAATGTAGAACAAGTAGTTATAGAGTACCTACCAAATAATACAACGTACCTACTAAATAATATACATTGTATTAATTTGCTCAGTATGACTCGTCAGAACCCTTGTTTCCAAAGAAATGAAAGTGGTGATATGGGAATGATCAACTATTTTTCATACAAATGACTATCACAATACAAACTCAGAGCTAACAATAATTCACGGAGCTTGAAGTAATTATCCAGAAACAATGTATTCGCCAATCCAGTCATCTTGGCAAGGTTATGGCAGACAGACGTACAATATTGCAAGCAAGTATGAGATAATTTTCTATTTTTCTTCCTTACACTATCGAGACTTGAAATGTGAATCAAATATGAAACTGCCTAGACCGACCTGAGTGTAAGCTTCCGGAATAGGATTCTTGCACCCTTTTTAATTTAATTAAAAAGAATTTGAACAGGATGAACCAACTAAAGGAAATATATACTAACCAAAAAGTAGGTGATAGTTACACATACCAAGTTAAATCATTGTATCAGCCCTCACATTACTGACAAGAAAAAGCTAGTTAAGAGATTTTTATTAAAAAAAGTAAAAAGAAAATAAAGTGCAACCTATTTGACCATAACACACAGGAGACAGTAAAAGTTTCCAGAAAAGCAGAAAGAATATACTCTACCCCCACCATTCTCAGAGTTCTAGAATGCCATGTAAACAAGAAGAAAGACAAGAACTATTTGGCGCACATGCATGTTCGAGTTTCCAAGTTTTTTATGTGAAAAAGTTTCACTGCATGAATCCAAAAGTTTGAATAGTCACTACTGTAAAATCAAACTGCAACTTTGCATTCTGATTTCCACGGGCTTCACCATTTCTAGATATCATGCCAGAGTAAGATCTTGACGCAGTTGGCCTCAAATAAGAAGATTTGGAGGAGTCTTGTAATATGCTACATACTTTTTTTGCCTCTTCATCATTGGGAAGAGCACCTTCATGTCCATTTTTAAGTGCACTCAGCTCGTGTTTACTGCCTATTGCTGGCTCCTGTATACTACCTTTTGTTGCAGGAAGCTTATTCACGGTCTTATCAGTAATGTACATCGCAATGCCAGCATTGAGTTCATTATCACACCTTTTCTGTCCTACAGGGGTCTCTAATACATTTTCAAGGACAGAGCCTCCATTACTTGCTTCCTCTCTGCAATTAGCCTGACCATATATAATCGGGCAAAATACAAAATTGGCTGCTCGACCTAAACTAATTGCATTTGCTAGCTAAAAGTGTATAAAACATGTATATTTTTTGTATATAATACACATATTTACAAAAAATATACATTTTGTCAGCTATTATAATTGGGAGTGGCTAATAATATACATTTCTCTATATAATCCACAATAAATAGGTCAAGAGATCAACCCTTTTACTTTTGCAATGAATAACAACAGAACGACAACTCTAAATATATAAATTAAATAAGGAGAAAAATAACTTTACCACCTCAAGAATGAAGAGCACCAGACACAAATAGATCTCCTCAAACAAATAAAATTGGATACCTACTTACTACAATACTATCATCCCCACTTGATTTCAACTATGTACTTACCCTCATTATTTTAAAAGATAATTTCTCAAGCTCTTATTAATTTGCAAATGATATAGCTTACAGAAACCTTAATGCCCATAATACTAATCCATTATCTCTCCTTGTCACCTGCCATGTAAATTTTCCAATGAACTAATTAATAAAAAACATGTATTTATATTAGTTCTTAAAGTTCATTTTCCGATACTAATATATCCTTGGGACAGCAATCTCAAAAGCGTGAATAGCAGTTTCTGAACTAGTATCATTCTGTTAAGAGCTCAGTATCAAGGTATACCCATAATAATGTTACGCCATAGCGAAATGAGAACAAATAACAGCTGGTAAGGCCAAAATGGCAGAAGACACAAACTTCAAATAAATGAGTCTATCGTAATGATCAAACTTTCTTTCCATGTGCTTAACTAACTAAGCCATTTTTTTGCCTCTTGACAAGAGATTCTTGTTTTAGCCTTCTCATATATGGAATTTCCCTTATTTGTTCCGGTACTTCATAATGGAATTTAGACCATCTCCAGTTTTTATCTTAAAATCTCGTTTCACTTATATTTCAGGTATGACCTCACCTACTTGTACAACTTCTCAACTTGTTCGAAATCTCCTCCATGATTCAGGTTTCATGGTTTAATTTTTATTTATTTTTCCCTTCAAGGAGAAAAAAGAAAAAGTAGAGAGAACAGAATTCCTAACACTTCGAACTTACCCATGAGTAGCAACATTCTTGCTCTCAATGCAGTAACCAGAGATGCTAGAAGATCCTTTCTCACCATAATGCACATCGATTGTCATCTACAAATATTTTCACATAGCATTGCAATTAGATGTTGACATTTGATATAAAAAAAGATCAAATAAAATGTCAATACCGTGATCACTTCACATTGCAATCAAGTATATAATCCTCAAAACCGAACAAAAATCGCTTCACAGGTAATAACAGTGTTAACCATTAGACAACATGAAGATCAACCAAACGAAGAAAGTTTTCTGGTAAAATTGACACAGATGTTTTACATGGATGAGCCAAGATCACATCCCAACTAACATTAGGCAAAATGTGGTTCTATAACATGACGACATGACTCAAATTCAAACACCAGAGTGAGCACGAGAAATATGTGAAATAGAAACATGTCTGATTTCTCAAATTCCGTTTCTATAAATAACTTCAGGAAAATGAAGATGATATAAATATAAGAAAAAGAATTAAAGTAATGCATGCATTTCTCTGAGATAGCTGTCATCTCTATCATTAAAAGAGATGAACAGGCCAGCTCCTGATAATGAAAAAGTAGAAGAATGTGAAGAAAAATATTACAAAATCAATACCATGTCGATATCATTGAACTATGTGGCTGATTCATTCTCAAATAAAGGAACTAAAATTGTCATATTGTACTTAATTAGAATTTCATCATGAAGTTGTTCGTTCTTAACCATCGTTGTTGCTTTAACTATGATTCCCCAACTTGCAAAAGGCAACAGTGGAAACAACCACATTGCTACTAGTTAACATCAAGCTCAAGATTGAATTCCTTTCCTTTTGTCTAAGTTACAGCCTGATATTCATTAATAGCCGTAGAGGTTAAGATATTGACATATAATGTCTAGAAAACAATGCTAAAGCCAAGTGCTCAAACTAACAAAAACATGGATAAATGCACCCAAATTTAAATCGTAGGTCAGAATTTAAGTTGGCAATATTCAAGCCCACAATACAAACAACAGTAAAGTCCTTACAACCTAGAGTATTTAAAATAATTAAAAGCGCATGGTGATACATATTCCTACATTTTAGTATGACACTAAATCAATGAAGCAGAAATACAAGACACAACATAGAGGTTCAAACATGTTATTTTGTCATGAAACACTATGAACAGTAGGTTTCACTAAATTGTTAAGTGAATTTCATTTCAAGAGCATAAGCATCACAAACCTCACTGTGGGTTGATGTTATAGTAGAAACACAGTCCAGATTTAGATGGCGCTGACAAAGACATGTTTGGAGAGATATAATTCGGAAAATTAAGATGAGCCCCCGAGCCATACATCGATATTGCAGCTTCATCATAAGCAAGAGCAGCGTCAAGAGCAGTAGAAAATGTACCCAACCAAATTCTGCTGCCCTTGTTTGGCTCCCTAATTTCAGCAACCCATTTACCCCAAGTCCTCTGCCTAACACCTCTGTATTTACAGTTTTGATTATCTGGGCCTCCTTTACCTTTCATACATCCCTTTCTTGATCCTTTGGCAGGAGCTTTACGCATAGAATCGAGGCTAGTATTTTGCTCTTTCCACCTAGCAAGTAAATTTCTTGATGACATCCTTCCATTCATTGGATTCTTTTTTTCTAGTGGTAGAGATAGGCAGTTAAAAGACTAAACATCCGAGCTTGTAACGCTATATCAAAATAAAATATATAAAGATGCTGATTATCAGAAAACAAACGGGAAAATATATGCGAAGTATCCAGTGATGTAACAATTATGACCAAAATCAATTTATGAGGCAACTGACTTGAGATAGCCAATCTATTTCCTTCCAGATTAAAAGAGAAGGAAAAACATACCATCCAAGTCACTCCAAATTTTTTCTCTGATAAACAAAAGAAAATCCATATGATTATTAATAGAAAACCACTATGGAGTTCCTTCTATTTTCTATTTTCTATTTTCTATAATAAAGCAAAGAAAGGAAAGAGCAAAATGAAAGTCTAATTCTTCTGTTCCTCAGAAAAAAAAAAAGATGCTAAAAATATTTTGATCAAAATTCAAGAAACCTCTCGTGGATATCAGTCGACATGCGAAATAGTGATTTGCTGAATTCTGAGTCTATACTGTAATAATCCAACACTACCACTGCGCTGCGCTTCGGTTGTAGGTGAAGAGAAGGCGGTCGGTGGGGGGAACAACTGTTTCTACTTTTGTGATTCATCATTAACGAGAAACGGACAAATAACCAAGATTTTTACTCATGGAATTGGTTGTATGGCAGTAAAATTTGGTGGGATTTTAACTACTTTTATCCCTTTGTCTCTTGGAGTCCAAGCTCAATTTTGGATATTTTAAATTCAAACACTGTGATTGATGGTTTTTCTAGAGCTATTTGGATTAGCGCCGATAAGAATTAGGTCTGAAAAAATACTTTTTAAGTGCTGAAATGATTTAATAAATAAGGTGTTTAGATACAAGTGTTGGAATTGATAATAAACTATTGCAGTATTTGATAAAAAAATATCAATAAGCACCTTTTTCCCTGAATAACCTTAGAACTATTTACACTTATAATGGCATAATTTCTTCAAAATTTTAGATTGCAGATCGATTCAAATACAAAATATTCTATTTGTCATTTTATTTTAAATACAATTATGATTATATAAGATAATTTTTATGATAAATATAATTTATTTTATGATAAGCATATAATTATAAGTTATAATAATTAATAAATTGACAAAAGTTTCTCAGTAAAAAAATAAACCTAAATAAGATAAAATATTTGAAGAGAAATACTGTCTTCGTCACCACAACACTTTGAAACAAATACACCAAAAAATTAATATGTCCTCGTTTATTACATACAGTTCAAAGATCAATACACAATCATATAGATACAAATATGTAAAGGAATAGAGAATTTATTTACCTCAAATAGTCAATGAGAATTGCAGACTTAAAGAGGTGGCGAGGGGGAGGGGTAGGTTGAAAAAATACGTGAGCCAGTGAGTATTAATATAGGAGTTTTGTTTTGAAAAGGAATATTTTAGGGATAAAATAGTAAATTTTTTTATCAAACTTAAAGTGCTTATAAGCTAAAAATTCATAATCTGTGGGTGGCCAGCTTATGTCTTTTGGCTTATTTTTGACTTATAAGCACTTTTAACTTTACCAAGCGCGTAGATAAGCCGAAAAATGCTTATAAACTAGTTTGACCAGCTTATAAGCTTAGCCAAACACCTTCTTAATCCGCCCACCGCCCAAATGGAATACTTTGGCGTGTATCAAAATAGAAAATTTGGGTCAGATTAATAAGCTTGCGAGCACTAAACAAACTTAATTGATGAACATAGTTTATGCGTCGCGACTTGTCGAGCATTTTATGAAAATTTTATACTTAAATTAGTTATATTAAATACCCTTGTAAATTGTAATATGAATTTCGAATACATATTCTGAATTTAAGATTAAATATTTACATCTATATATTGTTTAGTTGCTAAATTAGCGGCGCATAAAATATAATTATCATAAGATAAACTTAAATTATAAATAAAAGGATCTTCTTATGGAATTTGTAAAAGAAAAACAATATTTTTGTTGAAAATCTTTATTCATGCCGTTGATTAACTAAGAGAATAAATAAACAAAAAAAGGTCAAAAATACCCCTTACTGTCAAATATTATTTAAAGTTATCCTGTTATATTATAGTACTAATCTATCAAAAATATCCCTACCGCCTTTACTACTATTAAACAACCAAATATACCTGGTGATAACAAGGGCCACATGGCGGCCATTTAAGCCATTTGGTCAATTCAAGTTTTATTATTTCACTGACCCGACCCAGTAACCCGCTATGCGACCTAAAAAAAATATACCCGCTTAACACTTCAGTCTCATATCCTAGCGCCGCCGAAACAAGATCACGCATCGGTGACCGGCGAGCGATCACAGCAGAATCACTCCTTTGTGACTGACGAACCACGCGAAGGATTCACACATCGAAACTGAGACTGTCTTAGCGGTGAATCGCGGCAGCGCTGATGATGATGATTATTGTTTGAATGATGATGATTCTTATTCCATTTCTGGTGAGAAAAATCGAACTTGTGTAGTGGATTATTTGACTACGCCGGTACTGTAGATGCCATACTCAGCTTTGGTAGTTCTTTCAATCCTCAAAGAGAAGAAGCAGATTCAAATTTTAGAATAGAAATAAATAAGGGAAGCATATATCAATCAGGTACACTTTTCTATTCTACTTCGATTCTTCTCCACCTTACTCTTTCATTTCACCGATTCTTTCTTCTCATTTGGGTTGGGAAAATGTAGAAGCAGCTTATGTTTCTTCTATCTCTTAGTTTTGTTTGTGGCATAAGATGAGATGTTGATGTTGTAGATTTTCAGTGTTATTGCAGATAAACCATGATGCGCTCTTTGTCAAGTCGCGTATCAAAGAGAATACTCTCTTCTGTTATGCCTTGCTATGGAAATGCTTCTTCTTTCTTTATGGTCTCAAGACAACCATACAGAAGTTCAACTCTGCGACAGATAGTTTATAAGTCACAACGAAATGCTATTCCTTGTGATTTCTTGAAATGGGGTTCGCTTGGTTCCATTAGGACATCAAAATTTGCCTCTGGCTTCAGCCCGTTGAAGCCAAAGCCCTTGGACTCTATTATTGACATGGAGCGGGCGAAAAACAAATCAGCTGAAGAGCTTGCTGACGTTTGGGACGATGTAATCTTTCAACCTTTTTTTTAAAATTATTTTTATAGTTTTCAAATGCATTGTTGGCTTTCTTGAGATAGTTTTCAGCCTTGAGTTCTGATTGTGGACGAGATAGTTTTCAGCCTTGAGTTCTGATTGTGGACTGTTGTAAATTACATTAGTCATTCGATATGATGAACAATTCACAGCTAGACCAAGCTTTTCTCATAGAAATGAGCAGGTGAGCCTTTTCTCTTACTACACTAGAAATTTGAAGTCATCGAGGTTTACCTGATCATTATGATAAACTTGAAAAAGTGATTCAGGTAGCCAAAAATATATGTTGTCTGGTTTTCTAGTCTTACCCGTCTATGCTTGTGTTATGATTGCATTAAAATCTTCTTTAGATGACGGCTATTATTAGCATTTTATGCTGCAAATGGGATGAGGATTTGCAGGAGGGATTAGAAGACCCCCCAATTTTTTTGATCTTTGGTCTAAATGTACCCCACCGACAGATTTTCTTGTGATACTTAGTGTTCTTAAGCCAATCGATCCTATGATGTAATGCTTCAGAGATGCTTGGGTTGTGGATTGCCTTCTCATGTTTCCCTTAGGAAGCTACTCTTCCACCAGATTTCTGCCATTGAAGTATTTTTAGCTATGAGCATCCATGTACCTTTACATGTCTTTATTTTATTAAGTTGGATATACATTTTGATCACAGTCTGCAGTCTATGATACAACTTGCTGTTTGATTCAGTAACTTTTGCTTTCCTAACGTGTTAGTGATTGCTGGAATGATCCTTTTCTCTCTCCCTTTTTTCCCTTTTGTTGCATGTTTATGTCATCTCAGTATCACTTGGGAAGAGGTCATATTGCAGCATCAATGAAAGCTAAGTTATATAAGCTCTTTGAGCAAAGATCTGCAAGTTGGTAAATGTGCTGGTTCTTCTTATTCATTTGCTTTCTCGGGCGCTAATAAGTTGCTTTGTTTAATGCCACTTCCTTCCTTATCTTTGACATTTTACTTCTGTTTTCTTGTGTAGCCGATATTTTGTTATTCCGCTGTGGAGGGGAAGTGGTTACACAACCATGTTTGTGCAAGGTCAGACTCGTCTTGCTCCTTTTATCGTTTAACAATCTCTGTTGATATTCATTGTAAAACCTATCACCATGTTGTAGACACTATCCCTAAGAGTCTATCAACAAGCTATTCTAAGAGTTCCTCTTTCTCTAGTTCTAATGATATCACTGACGGGTGCTCAGTTTATTCTCAGAAAAGCAAAATGCCTTCCATCTTTTTTAGGTTTATTTTACAATGAACTTGTTATTTAGATATAATATTACGATTCAGAGTCAGATATATAGAGTTTCCTCAAATGGTCTCTCAACTTAATGGAATTACCTAGTAGTAAGGTCATTTATCTTTTTTTGTCCCAATAAAGCCACTCAAGCTCATACACATATCTTATAAAGTGACAAATGGCTGGAACACCACTTTAAAAGTGACTTGAAATGGTTTTAATATAAAACCACTTACCATCCATACCATAAATAATATTTAACAACAAAGCAGGGGCCCCACCTATTAAAGAAATATGTGGAATCTTTACAATTTCAACCCAATAGAACACCATCCCATAAACTCGAATACAACAACAAAATATGTCAAGTTAATATAGTTTAAAGTCTACTGATGTAACTTAAACAAATCTGTAGAATCTTCTTCTTTCTTTAGTCGATTTATTATACGTAATAAATACTACACTACTTGTTTTATATTGGATCTACTATGCATTGCGAATATCTGCTCATCGCCTGATTGTATAATACTTGTATCTTTCTTGTAATAATTTTCAAATATAAAAGAAAATAATGGTTAATTAGACTAAGTTCTCTGTAAAAGAAACCATCAAAGGCAAAGAGCAAGGCAATGCTGATGTACCTGAGAGGAGCTGAGTTTCAAGGTTACCTTGGTCTAAACTGCTGCAGAATTTGATACTTTGCATTTCAATCTAGTGACTAGTGCTTAGAAATTAGCATGTGACAATGAGTTCCTCGTTTCCAGATCAATTTTTCCAGGCACAGTTTACTACTAATGTCTGCAGGGGAACCAAAAGTGACGCATTGACTCTTGTCTTCTCAGAAAATTCATCCTCAATTTAACCTTGAAACAAATTTTTGAATCATGATCATATCCACATGCAAATGGTACACCCAGCTCAAACCGAGGAAAGTGGGACAAGAACAATCAGTGGTCCGTTGGACTGCTAATCCTATGCTAGAAATATTCAGTACTTGAGGAGAAATATTTGAGTAAAGATATAAGAAGATTCTACAGACTTGTTATAATTCAATTAGTAGGCTTTGAATTATATCAATTTGACATTTTTTTATTGTTGTATTCTGTTTTATGGGATGGTGTTATATTGAGTCGAAATTATAAAAAATTTACATACTTGTTTAATAAGTGGTGCCCCTGCTTTGTTATTATATATGGTATGGATCGTAAGCGATTTTATTTTCAAAAACCTTTCAAGTCACTTTTAAAGTAACTTGACTGATTTTATTGGGACAAAAAAAAAGATAGATGACTTTACTAGGTAATTTCATCAAGTTGAGTGTCCATTTGATGAATTGACTCCAGCTATATACGAAACATATAATATCTTTGTGGTCCACCATTCCCGTATTATCTGATGAAGGAGTCCGCAACTTTAGACTTGCTTCCCTTATGTAGGGGTTCGACACCAACATCCCTTGAGAGATCCTTTTCTCTAAAGTTGTTTGCGTAGTTCTTTACCGTCGACATCCTCTCCTTTTTTAGCTTTTTAATGTGAACGGTCGAGCATCACAAGTGTGGCCTAGTATCAAGGAAGTTGAAATAACCATGGATGACCAAGGTTGGAATCCTAATAGAGGTGAAAAACTTTGGTGATTTCTTCCGGTCTTCCTATTCCTTGGTGGCAGAGTTACCTGATACCGATACTGGTGTCTGGTGGGAGGACACAAGTAGCCGGTGGAATAGTTGAGGTGTGCGCAAGCCAAACTAGACACTACCTTTATCCTAGAAAAAAATGAGAGAGAAAAAGCTACTGTTCGAATTTGTGCCTTGATATGCCTTGGATCAACATATTATCCTATTTGAAGTGATCATACTTTTGGCTTTTGCACAATGACTAGAAAAGATATCAAACTGTTTAACATTTACCAGTAATTCAACTGTCTTTAGACCAATCTTTTCCTCAAGCTGAGAATATAGTCTTTAATCCTCACTCAAGTTGATTATGTCTAATTTTCATCCCTAGATTGCTTTTATATCTTGTTATGGATTTTGATAACTTTCCCTCTCTACTTCCTTGGACGAAACTTCTCCGCTTGAGTTTTATATCTTACCATTTTGATCTGTTTTCTATTCCTTGGCTGGTTTACCCACGTATGGAATCCTTAGTCGTTTCTGAGGCTTCTTTGAAAGGTAAAATACCCCATGCTTTTTGAAGACTGCAGTTAATGATATGTTTGTTATTTTCTCAGTACTGCTAGTATGGAGTTCCGTACTCATTAGTACACTGATAGGAATCAAACTACATAAACAAGAATTACAGGGAAGCAAGTAAAGATTTAGAAGAAACACAACTTTAAGGCATAAACCAGAACATTCAATAACAATCAAATACCTTAATTAAGCAAATTAAAGTGTACCAATCCTATAAGAAACCTCAAGTTTAAAGAATCATGTTCTGATGTAAATTCTCTACTTTGTTGTATACTTCTTGTATGCGGGAGTTTTTTCTCCCTTTTGATTATTACAATTTACCTTATCAAAAAAAAAGAAACCTCAAGTTTAAGTGATCAACTTGAAAACCCGCTTGCAAGTTTTGTAGCAACAATTGGATACCATCCAAACATTCTCAAAGTTGTCTAGCATCAAAATATGCTAAACCCTACTGTTCTAGGAAAGATAGTATTTATATTAGGTCTAATTATTACACAAATGATTTAATAGTCCCTAATTTGGCCTAAAAAGGAAATGGACCGAAATTGGAAAATCAGCCTGGTAGGCCTTCATTGCAATCCCGGTTTGGGACCCTGCGATTGCGTCTTCAGTGAATCAGCCTCCCAATCATCGCAGTCTGGGACTCCACAATAGCGGACTTATCAGGATTGACCCTTCTCGTGATCGCCGCGTGGAACCTCGTGATTGCAGTCTGGGACCCCGTGATCGCGGACTTCTCCAGGATTGACCCTTCTCGCCATTGAAGCTTGGAACCTCGTGATCACGCTTCCTTCATCTTGGGCCATCTTCGCGCAATCACGGCTGTCTTTTCTGCATAGAAACTGCAGCTATCAACTTCAGTTTTTGGCATCTTTGGGTGCTTTCTCCCTTTGATGATTGAACTTCGTCATCTCCTATGAGTTGTATGAAGTTGTTTAACTTTGTAGGTTTCCACCATCCCCCCTCCTCCATGGTTTCTATCCTCATTGCAAGAGTTTGTAAGTCTCTTAACTTCTTGGCTTGTGATCTTGTGAAGGGTCTTGAGACTTGTAAACCTTGGCTGCCATCACACACTCCGTTCAATTTTGGGTCCAACATATGTGGGGGAAATTTCTACTAAATATAAATTACCTATAAAAGTTAGAAGTAATCAAAAGTAAACAATATCGTTTCTCGCATAAATATACTTTAGAAAAGAAAAAGAAAAAGATGTAGTATCGTAGTGCTTGGACTGCACCTAGTTTCTAACCTTTATACCAGCTGAACATAAATGGTTCTGGTTGTACATGTAGTTAGCCAGCCATTCCTTTGGGCATCTGTACTGTGAATATCATAACTGTTCCTTCTTCAATTTTAAGCTGCACTTGTAGATCAACCCCTCCCACCTCCCCTCCCCATCCCAAAACTGAAGCAAAAAGTAGTTGTGAGGAGAAGATGAATTTCACAGAATATCTGTTCTCTCCAACTGAACCTGTGCTTTTCTGGTTAATCTGCATAAATCAAAATATTGTTTATGCTTAAAATTTGTTGGTCAATGTCCTGTGTGACATCAGCTTTAGCTCTGTGTATTCGATGCAACATCAAGAAAGGTGGGTTTATATGTTCCTTTAATTACATGAAATGCCCTATATCACTTGCAGTCATTGATTACCATTCATTGAATCTTCATGCAGTGCAGGCGCCACACATACTTATCACAGGCCTTGAAGATTACAAGGCCAGAGGAACTCAAGCTTCTCCATACTTCACAGTTTCTTACTACACCGAATTTTCTGAAAGCAAGGATCTGGTTCTTGTTCGAGGGGACATTGTCTTTACTAGCAAGCTCACCGACTCGGAGGCAAAATGGCTTTTGGACACTGCACAATCTTTTTACTTGAATGATGTCAGATACAAACTAGTGGAGCGTTTCAATAGAGAAACGAGGGAGTTTGAGTTCAAAGATGTTTTACAAACTTTGGAGATGCCTATATTGTGATTGGAACATCTGAAGTCGATCTTCTCTCATAAGAGAAATCCAAAGGTACGGAGTTTGGTCAAAATGGATCATTCAGAAATCAGCATCAAGTGAATTGATGTTCTCCTGCCATTCTGACAGGCAAGTGTCTGTCAAGCATAATGACTATTGCATTAGCAAACAATCTTTTCTAGTTTTGATTATTTCATTGAGGCAAAAGTCAAGTATCTTCATGGTGTTGTTTTTCTTTCTTTTCTATAGTAGCAATTATCTTTTTGGAAAAAAAGAAGAGAAAAGGGCTGATGGTAGCTGTGTTGTAGACTTGTAGTTCTTAAAGAAAACTTCCTAAATTCAGAGATTCTACAGAGGTACTAAAACATCATGGATCTTTTGAGACATCTGCAATAAATGTGATTTTAGGTCTGTCTCAACTTCTTCCAACACCTTGAATTACCATGGTTTCTCACCTGTAAACTTGTGCATTTCGAGGTATACAATTATTATACATAAACAATGGCCAAACAGTCTTTGAGGCGTTTTCTTCCCTATGTGTGATATTGTACTTTCTGTTAGATGTGATTATTTCTAATCTTATATGACTAGACATGTATTTCTAACGCCGGAGATGCATGTTTTGTGATGAAATTACTTAAAGTGATATCATAAGAGCAATTGGAAGAGACGGAATTTTGACGAGGAAGGATCATACGGCAATCAGCAACAATGGAATTGGCAGTTCTTTTCGTCATTCCAAGGGCAAAACTGTGTCTATATAGTAGAATGATTGAATGGCATGTTATTAACAATCTTTTCTAGTTCTGATTCTTTCTTTTTTTTTTAAACCAAAATTCGTGTTACATTGTAGTAATGTTGATGGTAGCTTTCTTGAAAATTGTCAAGAAACTTTCTAGTGTCCACAGAGATTTTGTTGCGCAATGGTAAAAGTTGATGCCGTGTACGTAAGATCCAATATGGCTAGCACCCTGCATATAGCGGTAGCTTAGTACACCGAACTGTTTTTTTTTTACTATAAAGATCTGTGAAATGGGAGACTCGATCAATGAATTTCATGATAAGCACAAACTTGGAAGGGAAGAACTACTGAATTGTGGTAGTAGACGTTTCCTTAACTCTTGTATCCCTCTTTTCTTTTGTCACACCAAAACAAGGGAAAGCGTTATCATTTTCCTTTCCTTCCCCCAATTAAAAAGTTGAACCTGAACTGGCGAACCAAAGCCACTTTTGTGAAACCATACGCCAAGGCTCTATGAGAGAAGAGTTAACTGGAGTACACCTGGAACGACAACGTGGAGCATAAAAAGAGAGTTCTGAAGATAAGACCGGGTTGACGGCTAAAACTTGTATTCCAGGTCAATAAAGACTACAAATAGGTTATTTGGATTAATTAATTAATTAATTTAATTTCATTGTAATAGAATAAAAATGTGACAGGGAAAGGTTCATTTTTAAAAAAAAGGGACAATTGGGGAGAATTTGAACCGTTGAAAACATTGGTACGAGTCATGAGGGGATTATGTATTTATGCCCAACTTATTTTATGATTTCTGAATATTTCAAAAGTCAAAAGAGGAATAGATATCTTGACTTGGAATGAACAGGCTAAAATGCAAACAGATAATTTCAAGGTTTATTTAGGTCATGATAGACTGACAAGAATTGTGTTAAGTATAACTTAATCATCAACTTAAAATTACTCTTCCATTTGTTTTAATTTTTTTAATCTTTAGGTGCACAATTGAGTTGCTAATAAATAATTTATATATAGTGTAGTGATTTCTTTTAGAATAAAGTAATCCTGTATTCAAAACCATGTGTTTATTTATATCGAAAAAATAAAAACATGTGGTTATCTTGTTCTTTTCCATCTTTTTGACTAAAGTCTCCTATAGCGTGATTTTAGCTAGGAATGTTAAGAACAAATTAAATCTTAAAGTCAGGCGAATTTCCTTCGAGTCTTCATGCTAAGAACGCTATACACATTTAAAAAGTTTAAAATCTTTCAAAAAGTTAATATTATTTCTTTTACGGTTAACCGGCAACTTTTTAAAAAGTTAAATTTATTTCTTGATGCAATTACACTTTTGTGTTTCTTTATCTGTTTCGTATGACGGAAATTAGTTTTAGGTTTTTTTTTTTTTTCCATAAGTAAATTATTTTCTGATATTTGGCTACAAAAAAGTTTTTTCCTTAAAGTGAAAAAATCCAAGGAAAAAACTGACTTTCCTGATGAAGGTCATTTTTTTAGGGGGATTTGCAGTCGTACCCTATATTTGTGTCATCTTTTAACATGTACCCTATTTTTTAAAATTATTGATTTGGTAGCCATCTCACAAAAAAACCGTAATAATATAACAATTACACCCCTGACAAAAGATATAAAATGATCTCCTCCTCTCCTCTTAGCAACTTTATAAAAAAATCAGAAACTTGTCCAGATTCATCTTCAAAATCACACTTGCATGAAGTTGTTTCACCTTGAAGCTAAAACTTCATGCTAATGTAGCATGAAATTATTTCATGTTGAAGCTAAAACTTCATGCTAAACATGTTGAAGTTATTTAGTTCATTTGCTAAAATTTCAGACTAAACATACTTAAGTTATTTAGTTCATTTCCTAAAACTTCACACTAAACATGCTTAAGTTATTTAATTCATTTGCCAAAACTTCAGACTAAACATGCTTAAGTTATACAGTTCATTTGCTAAAATTTTAGACTAAACATGCTTAAGTTATTTAGTTCATTTGCTTAAAATTTCAGACTAAATATGCTTTAGTTTTTTAGTTCATTTGCTAAAATTTCAGACTAAACATGCTTAAGTTTTTGTCTTGTAGTATGTAATTTTCTAATTAGTTTTTGGTAATACATGCTGAAATTATTTAGTTCATTTGCTAAAATTTCAGACAAAACATGCTGAAGTTATTTAGTTCATTTGCTAAAATTTCAGACTAAACATGCTTAAGTTTTTGTCTTGCACTATGTAATTTTCTAAAGAGTTTTTGCTAATGCATGCTGAAGTTATTTAGTTCATATGATAAAATTTCATACCAAAACATGCTGAAGTTTTGTAACGCAGTCTACAGTTTTGTCATGAGGTTTATCCGAAACTTCAGTCTAAACAAGCTGAAAGTTTTTAGTTTATTTATTAAAATTTCAGCCTAAACATGCTTAAGTTTTTGTCGTGCAGTTTGTCAATAGTCTTTCATTAAAGAAGGGCAAAATCGTCTTTTTAAAACGCTTTTAACAAAAAATGGGTACGGATGCAAACGGAAAAACAAAACGGGTATAAGTTAAAAAGGGGCGACCAAATAGGGCGCCCCATACAATTTTTACATTTTTTTACAACAGCCTTGATTTTTAATTTAATATTATTTGCTTCAACTAGTACTTAGATTTGCTAATATTATCAAAACAGTACTCGATTTGCTAGTATTATTACTAAACTCTAATGTATACTCTTCTTGGGAAATATTTTTCAATTCACCAATTAAATACTACCATTTTACCGGAAAGCAATTTCGATGTAAAATGACTTTTACATTAGGGGCCGTGCATAATTTGGTAAATACCGAGTTACTGTATCGAAATCAAAATTTTTGGTATTTGGTATTCGATATTTTGGTATTCGATATCGTATCTGGTTTAAGTTTTTAAAAAATATGGTATTAGGTATGATATTTGGTATTTTAAAATAAAATACCGAAATTCCGATACCGTACCGAAATATATATTATATTACACAAAACACATATTATTAATTGTAACATAAATATAAAAAAAACTAAAATTTTACTTTCTTTTATTCTCTAAGTTCATCAATTAACTCTAAGCATGTAAGAAGACATTTCTAATGATCAAATTTATTCCTTTATGTGTAGTTTTCTCTTTCTAGGTTAATATTTATTGATTTTGGATAAAATTTTTGTCAACAAACGTTTTTAGTTTTGTACTTTTGAATACTTTAATTAAGAATATTATAGTCTATGACTCTATGCACTTGTTAGTATTCAAACCGAATAAACCGAAGTTACCGAACCGAATAAACCGAAACCGAAATGAGAAAAACTGAACCATACCGAATTTAATTAGGTACGGTATTGGTATAGCATTTTAAGAAATCGAATACCGAAAATACCGAATCGAAATGTCTAAATATTATACCGTACACCGGCGAACACCCCTGTTTCACATACCAAATACCCTTTGTCTAAAAAGGTCTTTATACATTCTGTGCTTATAACGTAAAAGAAAAGATAATATTTTTTATTTTTATTTGACTACTATCCATCGGCCATGGCCGTGCATGTACAAATCACAAACCTCTTGGAACACTAATTTTAATGAAATTAACAACAACAACAACAACAACAAATCCAGTAAAATTTTACTAATAGGGTATGGGAAGGGTAGTATATACGTAGACCTTACCCCTACCCCGAAGGAGTAGAGAGGCTGTTTTCGAAAGACCCTCGGCTCAAAAAAGGACAAAAGGGCAAAAAAGAGACAATATTAGTATCACAACAACAATCATAATATAAATAGAAACACCATGAAATCCAGAAGAAGGATGCAAAACAAAGGGAGACAATATTAGTAAATATTAGTATCACCACAACAATCATAAGAATAATAGGTACACCATAAAATCTACAACTAATTTTAATGAAGTTAAAAGTACTTTTTTCTTTAACCTGGTATATAACATTGTCATGAGAATTTTTTTTCTCTAACAATTTATAAAAATTGTACACCTAAAAATACTACAAAGTATATTTGCTTCGATCCAATTAACTATCACAATATGACTTCAATTCATATCGTTTATTTATTAAGAGAATGGTTGGTATCGTTTATGTTGACTTTTCTTACTGAAATGTTTATTATTATATTCATAAGAGTATAAGTAGGTCCCGTTTTACGTCACTAATTAGTGGAGTTGTTCAACTATTCAAGTTATAATAATCTGGTACTTTTGTGGATACGATATCTTTTTCGCAAAATAATAACTTCTTAATGTGGACACAAGTATTTTTCTTTTTCTCCAATCTCGTACTTTTGTGGATACGATATATTTTTCCCAAGATAACAACGTTTTAATGTGGACACAAATATTTTTCTTTTCCCCCAAAGGTTGACTATTTTAATAATAAAATCATAAAAATGTACAAGTAACAAGTAGCACAACTTTTGAAAGAAGACCAGCAAAAGGCTCTGCCATGATATATATATATAAACCAGAAAGAGTTTGAACTTGGAACGAACCAGGAAGCTAGCTTTCACATGCAAAAACTAAAACAAAAAATAAGATGAAATCTCATTGTGTAACGTTTCTATTTTCTCCATATAATTTAATTAGGCAGTATATATTCAAAACAAACGGCAAATACGAAACCGAGTAAGTGAAGCTGGCGTGTGTTGGGTTTGAGGAAGGGAGGGAATGTAAGACTCTTACTAACTAATACTCCTAATGTATTATAATTCACAAAAAAAGATACTCCTATTAAAGAAACTGTAGCATTGCTTTCAGCTACTACTCTTGTTTGGTTCATTGAAAAGACAAATTTAATTTATCAGTCGACCAATTATGGAAAGAACCAAAGGCATTCTTATGTTAGCTTTTGCAGTTGTGTTCTTTACTGCTTCTTTGGCTATTAATCCTAATGATGAAGCTGTTCTTCTTGCCTTCAAATCTCACATTTCTTCTGATCCTAATAACTTGTTACAAAGCAACCGGTCTGTTTCCGCCCCAGTTTGCAGCTGGATTGGCATTACTTGCAGCTCGCGCCACCATCGAGTCACTGCTTTAGACATTTCTAGCATGCAGCTTCGCGGTACCATTCCTCCACACCTCGGAAATCTCTCATTTCTTGTTTCCCTCGACATCAGTAACAGCAGTTTTCATGGAGATTTGCCAGAAGAGTTGTCTCATTTGCAAAGGTTGAAACTGATTGATGTTACACGAAATAACTTTAGTGGTCCCAGTCCATCAGTCTTAAGTTTGTTACCTAACCTTCGATTCCTCTACCTTTCGAGCAACCAATTTTCAGGGGAAATCCCATCTTCCTTTTCCAATCTAACAAAGCTTCAACAGTTAAGAATGCAGAGGAATTCTCTTCAAGGAAAGATCCCTCCTGAAATTGGCAACCTTCGGTACTTGACAATGTTAGACCTACAAGGTAATGTTTAAGTATATAATCATCTCATCTAAATGCTTAAACTGTAAAAGAGTGCATATTTCTATTTACTTCTTGATTGATCTTTCTGATTGGCCATGTTGATGTGTGTGATCGCCTCATCTAAAAGTTTAATTATGTCTCCAATAGGTAACCGGTTTACTGGCTCTATACCACCATCAATCTTCAACATGACTTCCCTGAGACAACTCGCCATAATTCGCAATCGTCTTACTGGTAAACTTCCTGTAGATATTTGTAACAATCTCCCAAATCTTGAAGTGCTCTTTCTCTCGAGCAACATCCTAGATGGCCTAATCCCACCAAATTTAGAGAAATGCTCAAAGCTTAAAAATTTGACATTGTCTGGAAATCAGTTCACTGGAACTATACCAAGAAAACTTGGGAACTTAACTATGCTCACAATGTTGCATCTTGGAGAAAACCTTTTAGAAGGTATGAATAATCTTTCTGCTTTGTTTTTTTATTTTAAGATTTCTCAATAGCTAAGCAATGTCAGTTTGAGCTAATCTTTATGCATTTTACTCTAATTGCCAGGAGAAATACCAGTTGAGATCGGTAATCTACAAAACCTTCAATTGCTTGGGTTAAAAGCTACTAACTTAAGTGGTTCTATTCCTGCAAATATTTTCAACATTTCAGCATTGAAGATACTACCATATATGGAAATCAGATATCAGGTAGTTTACCTTCAGATTTAGGCCTTGGAACACCAAATCTTGAAGAAGTTTACCTTGGATCGAATGATCTCAGTGGAAGAATTGCTCCTACAATCTCAAATGCTTCAAGGCTAATTATTATAGACCTACCAAACAACAAATTTACAGGTCCAATTCCTAATTCACTTGGTACCTTAGAGTGTCTTGAAGGCCTATACTTGGGTGGTAACAACTTCATGAGCCATCTTCTTCTGAGTTAAGCTTCCTTACATCCCTTGACTAATTGTAGATATTTAAGAGAAGTGGTCATTGAAGAGAATCCTTTGAATGGTTTTCTTCCAGCTTCTATTGGAAACTTTTCCGATTCTCTTCGGATGTTTATTACACGTAGAAGCAAACTGAAGGGCACCATCCCAGAAGAAGTTGGAAACCTAAGCGGCTTACGTGTGCTAGCTCTGTCTCATAATAACCTCATTGGTTCCATTCCTGAAAAGTTGAGAACAATGCAAAATCTTCAAGAATTTTACTTAGAAAATAACAGTCTAAGAGGAACAATACCTGATGATATCTGCAGTTTACAGAATCTTGGAGCTTTAAACTTGACTGCTAATCAAATTTCTGGTTCAGTTCCAGCTTGTTTAGGAAAAGTGTCTACTTTAAGATATCTTCATTTAGGTTTCAACAGATTGAGTTCCACCTTACCTGAAAGCCTGTGGAGTCTTCAAGATCTCTTAGAACTGAGTGCATCATCAAATCTATTAAGCGGGCGTATACCTCCTGAGATTGGTAATCTAAAAGTTGTGACACTAATTGATCTGTCCAAAAATGATCTTTCTGGTGATATTCCTAGTAGTATAGGGGGTCTTGAAAAATTGATTAGTCTCTCAATGGCACATAATAAATTAGAAGGGCCTATTCCAAGTTCATTTGGTAAAATGGTAGGCTTGGAATTCTTGGATTTTTCTTACAACAATCTTACTAGTGAAATTCCAAAGTCACTTGAAGCACTCTCACACCTTAACTAAGTCAACATCTCTTTTAACAAGTTAAAAGGAGAAATTCCCTCTGGTGGTCATTTTGCAAATTTCACCGGTCAATCTTTCATGTCCAATGATGCACTCTGTGGTGATTCTCGCTTTAATGTGTCACCATGCCTCATCAAATCCACCATGAAATCAAGGAGAAAGAGAGTGCTCATAGGACTATTTATTCTACTAGGGATTGGATCAATGTTTCTAGCATTTGTCCTTAGATATATGCTGTTAAGATGGCAAAAGAAAAAGAAGAATTCAGATCAAACAGATGAGTCATGAACTTCAACAAGCAACTGAAGGATTCAGTGAGAGCAATTTGCTTGGTAACGGGAGTTTCAGCATGGTGTACAAAGGGATACTTAAAGATGGGAGTCTTTTGGCAGCAAAGGTAATCAATGTGCAATTGGAGTGAGCATTCAAGAGCTTTGACACAGAATGTGAGATACTACGCAACCTTCACCATAGAAATCTCACAAAAGTGATCACTAGTTGTTCCAACCCAGACTTCAAAGCCTTAGTATTGGAATACATGCCCAATGGAACACTTGATAAGTGACTATACTCTCATAACTTGTTCTTAGATATCTTGAATAGGCTAGATATTATGATAGATGTGGCATCGGCATTAGATTATCTCCACAATGGGTATCCAACACCTGTGGTGCATTGTGACTTGAAGCCAAGCAATGTCTTGCTAGATCAAGAAATGATTGGTCATGTGAGTGATTTTGGCATTGCAAAGTTGCTAGGTGCGGGGGAGACTTTTGTCCAAACAAGGACTATTGCAACCATTGGATACATTGCTCCAGGTAATAGAACCTTTCAAACTTGGTATGCTGTAGATTTTCCATTTCAAAATTATCTTCCATGGTAATAAGGAGTACTTTAGTTCATGAACTAGTTATGCCAAGATCATAATTATGGGTTGTCATGTGGTGAATAGTAATATAGGACAGAATAATAATGTAGTAATACAATAGTAATGCAGTAATTATTCTTAGGTGAACTATGATATGATTGTTATGCAGGGAGAGCCAATCGACTTTAAGGGTATTTTTGTATTCAGATACTTTTATCCAATTATTGCTGATACACATATTCCTATTCATGTTCTATCACACATAAAGAGATTACCATATATTAGCTATGCAAAGTTTAGTACTTGAAAAATTATTCTTAGTTTGTAATGTTTTATACTGAAAACCAAAATTGTATTAATAATGCAGATATTACATATTCAAGGTTTTATGTTGTGAAGAAGACATTGTATTAGTTAAATGAAATTTTATTCCGAGATTACTTTTTCTTTGCAACTACCAAATCTGTCCCCAGGAAACTTATCTAACAACATATCGCCCTGGATTGCAGAGTATGGACAGGATGGAATAGTATCCAAAAATTGTGATGTCTATAGTTTCGGCATCATGATGATGGAAACATTGACTAGGATGAGGCCAAGGGATGATATGTTTACAGGAGATTTGAGCCTAAGGTGTTGGATTAATGATTCTTTTCCTAGTGGAGTTGGTCAAGTTGTGGATGCCAATTTGTTGAGGCCAGAGGAAGGACATAATGAAGCAAAGACTCAATGTTTGTTGTCTATAATGGAATTAGCTTTGAGTTGCACTTTAGTGTCACCTGATGCAAGAGTTAACATGGAAGATGCTCTTTCGGCCCTCAGGAAGATAAGATTTCAGTTTGTCACTAGTTGTTTTACTTAAAAGAAAAGGTTCTTTTACTTCCTTTTTTGTCAGTTTTCCCATGCGAAGATAAGATTTTCGCATGATGTATGTTCTGTGATTCAGAGCTTGTAAAAAAATAAGCTATATGATTGATTACTTTAGTATTGCCAACTAAAAACTAAGGAGTTATACAAAACAAAGTAATAGACCTATGACTTGCCTTTCCTTTGATAGCTCAATGGAGTTGGTGAGGACTACAGAAGCCACAGGGATAAATGCATACAAAAAGCACTTAGAAACTAATACACTTAAGAAAACAGGTCTACAACTAAATGGAGCCTCATGTTTCTTTACAGCAACTGCTTTTCTCCAGACTAAGGATTTCTAAGCAGGACAAGACTTTAACTCTAAATCTTTCTCAGTCCACTCAGGTCGATATCTGTAATACCCAATGGAATGAGAATAAATATGTCCTAGGATGCCATTTCTGATCATTGTTTTTCTTTTTCACAAGGACCATTGTGATCATTGTTTTGCTAGTGAACTCACAGAGCTTATCATAGTCCATCAGAGAAATGTATTCAATTGTGGTTGAGAAGCCTACACAATGCTCTCAGGCTCTTAGAGCATCAGCCCTCATGTCAATTCCTCTTTACTATTGATAGCTCAATGGAGTTTGTGAGGACTACAGAAGCCACAGGGATAAATGCATACAAAAAGCACTTAGAAACTAATACACTTAGGAAAACAGGTCTACAACTAAATGGAGCCTCATGTTTCTTTACAGCAACTGCTTTTCTCCAGACTAAGGATTTCTAAGCAGGACAAGACTTTAACTCTAAATCTTTCTCAGTCCACTCAGGTCGATATCTGTAATACCCAATGGAATGAGAATAAATATGTCCTAGGATGCCATTTCTGATCATTGTTTTTCTTTTTCACAAGGACCATTGTGATCATTGTTTTGCTAGTGAACTCACAGAGCTTATCATAGTCCATCAGAGAAATGTATTCAATTGTGGTTGAGAAGCCTACACAATGCTCTCAGGCTCTTAGAGCATCAGCCCTCATGTCAATTCCTCTTTGAAGCAACTAGAAGTATTCACATTGGAATTGGAAATAATAAGCTCGAATTAATAACTTCTACTACATCAAGGTGCCACTCGTAGTGTTCCTGTCATCATCTCGGACCAGCTACTAATCTTCACCTTGGTAAACTATTGCCTCAGCAACTAGCTAATCAGAGGAGAACCCCTCCACAAATTCCTCCTTTTATCATATTTGCTTTAGTTGAAGAGAATCAATTAAGTAATATCAGAACAAGTAACCACTGAGATTTTTGCAAGAATATCCACTTTGGAATTCTAAAGGGAGAGATTCTGGCAGGATTATCCATCTACTTTGAATTCTAAAGAAAAGGTTCAGAATAAATTATCACAACTGCATAGAAACTGAAAAAAGGGAAAATACCAATGCATTGGATCATAATCAGTCTTTTATTACATGGAGATCACACCATCTTTCCTTGAGCATTGTTGTTGACACCACTAAACTACTAATCAACTACCTGGATTACACCAAAAAGCACTCTGTCGTTAATTTCTCAAGCATCTGCCTCCATAACTATCGCTCAGGTACCTCCACAAGCTACAAAAATAACTCAAACCATTCAAGTGCCTGCACAAGCTACTAAATGACAACCCCCATAGGGGGCAAATTTAATAAGAAATGCTTAAGCAAAAGTCCTACTACATTTCAAATAACTTTCAAATGCCCCCAAATCGTATTTAGCTGCATTAGCGCATGATTCCATTAGCACACAATTTCAACAACATTACTGAAGGGAATCGGCTGTAAGGACTGGATGATGGTTTACAACCACAGGAGGCCGAAGAGCTTTGTGATTAGCTACATTTTCCTTGCGTGCCTTGTACATCTCTTCAGTCTCAATGACAACCAACCTTTTCACCTAAGATCAGTATGAGAAATGCAAAATGAATAATTACTAGTACTTCATATGGAAACGAGAACGCAAAGGAGAGCACTCATTCAACTAATTCATATTAATAGCAAGCCAATTTAAAAACCTGCTGAAGCATTCCCCTAACAGTAGGGGTGTTCCACCGCATTACAGTCCTGTTGCATTTGCGAAGGCGCAGTGCCTCTAAGGTACGTCTATGGAGCCTTCTAGTGCCTGAGATACCCCTTACAAGGGTTATGTATAGATTAGGGCTCCAAGCAACTGGAACACAAGCTTTAAAAGCGTTGTAAGCACTCATCTCTTCCTCTTTTACTGGTTTTTGCTTTCCTGTGGCAGAAGTAACGTGAAACTTTACTTCAAAGATTTTCAAATAGGAAGCTAGGGAAGGAGGTACAAGATCTAACAAATAAATCTGCTTCGCAAGGATATTTCTCACAATTAAACAAAATATAGCTAAGTGACAGCATGCAGAGCAATGAACTTATTAAGAAAACACACCTAAGCTGGATAATAATCAAAGTAACAAGATGGATTCAAAAGTGTTAACCGGAAAGGGGAGGGGGGG